GACTGCAAAACTCTCGCGAATTCTCTTTGATTTCGGGACGGTGCAAATAAACTGCAATAGTGCCCCCTTGAAAAATGCTTAGATGGGTCCCCTAAATCTGCCAGGTGAATGGGTTATGGCCAGACTCCGGGAAAGCATACCCCAACCTGCAAGCCGGGAAGTGTCCAGTGAATGAAGGGAACTTTCGGACTGGGGTTATGAGCGCACTGATGAGGACCTGCTGAGAGGACCCGAAGACGAAGGAAAGAGAAGTACAAATGCGGACTTACCTATTGACTGCTGAACAGCTACTGTCTGTAAAACCGGGAGAGAACAGTTCCTTACTGTGGGCTTCCCGAGAACCTTTTTTGCTTGCCCCAACCGCTAGAGATGCTTTGCCGTGGGTTGGGAGAAATATTCTCAGATGTCTGGGGCAACAAGCCCGAAAACAGTAACTGGGCCTGGAAGCAGAAGACTTCATGCAGCCTAAGTCTCTTTGACGAAGTTGCGGTTATCACAGGAAGATGGAACGGGAATCGAGAACCCTGCTAGATCTTTTGGATCAGAGCCCGAACGAGAGACCCTCCTCACCCTGGTACAGCCGAGGAAGGAGCGCACGTGTACCTGATGACCCCTCCCGAAGTGCAAAACCTAGTACGCGTGCAGTCCTGTAAGTAAAGTACCTGTGACTGAGTCCGAGTCTGACGCCGAGTCTGAAGACTGAGAGTCAGAGTCTAGTTTCCAGTCCGAGTCATCCTTGTGTCGGATCTAGAAAGAATCCAGATTGTCAAATTTGATGTATTCTTTTACTTGAAAGCCGATTTGGGGTCATATAAGTTAAATTAAAGGCTTGCAATTCTCTGATTACCCCTGCGTGTCCTAATCTTTCCAAGCATTTCCAAGCAAAAACAATCGAAAATAAATAGAAATAAAAAAATGAAAAGGGAAAAAAAACTAATAACTGGCAAAGCAGGAAAACGAACATCATACATTGCAAGTGCAAAGAATGCTGACTTTTGCAAATGAAAAACAATAACAGGGACAGGTTCAGCTGAATGCTTTGAAAGAAAATTTGTGATTGCTCATGTGGAAGCAGTGGACATCACGGGCACGAATATCTTGCTGACGTCCCACCGGAATTGACCCAAGCAAATATGGTGCAACAAGATTCGCAGTATAATCCAAGGGCTAAGCAGCTAAAACAGAAAGCTAAGAAGGCTGAAACAGAATGGTCCTTGAAAATCAAGGAGGAAGTTGCCCAAAGCAGCTGGAAGAACAATTCATAGAACCGAGTCCTATCGCACTACATTTGGCTAACCCGACGCACTGGTGTTAGCAAATAGCGTGCCGGTCGCCAAAGAAGGCATGGAAAAGTGCGAAGTGTGTGTGACTAGCGGCATTTGAATAACAGGCATGGTCCCAAAAGGACGATTTCCCTCTGTCGCACATCGACTTGTTAGTGGACCCGAAGTGGCTGGACACGAGATGCGTCTCGCTTGACTGACTCTTTGCTTGTCGGATTATAATCAACCATAATGACTGCATGCAGCCAGACAAAGAGAAAAACGGTGGTCACCACGGAATGCGGGAAACTTCCTGCTACAGGTTCATACTTTTGGGCTCACAAAATGCCGGCGGCCCACCTATCAACGAATGGCGACGAACCAATCTTCCATGACATGAATTCACAAACGAATAAAGAAGATATAATGTTGAGGAGTATGGTTGTCAGATCAAAAACAGCTGAAGAACATACGAGCAGGCTTGAGAAGTTCTTTCCTTAAGACTTCGAAAGTAAATTTAAAGCTCCAATCCGGCAAATGTCGTGATTTTGGAGCTAACATCGAGTTATTTCTGGGGCACATGGTTAGTCGGAAGGGCATAGAGATGTGGATGCCCCTTCGATAAGCTAAGAGCTATTCTGGAAATGCTAAGCACCAAGGACCGAAAAAGAAGTCCGAGGTTTCCTAAGGAAGGCTACAGTTGACATCAGCCGGTATTCATCAACTCCATTCCTTTTTACTTTCCTGTTCCGTATGGGCCCGATACCTTCGTGTCCCGATTTTCAAACTACGTAGCGAAAGGAGTAGCAGTTCAATGAATAACGGATTGTTTCAGGCGGCCCTGTTTCGAAGCCAAGTCAACGCGCATACTCCTGCTTATCTCACCGCCTGTCTTTAC